GGGCAGAGAGGATGGGGTGGGGGCCATTAGCCATGACATAATATAAATAGATTAATTTTTTAAAGTGTTCCTAGATTTCACTGTTAAGCACAAAGCTGTTCTCAGCTTCTTGCTAATAACCTTTCTCAAGTTGAAGCTATGATGGTTTATGTCATTGCCAGACATGGTACCACATGTGTATAATACCAACACTTGAGAGGATGAGGCAAGAAAATTGCAAATTCAAGGCCAACCAGGGATACAAAGGAAATTCAAAGCCAGCTTGGGCTAGATCTGTGCTTTAATGAAATTTCTTCATATTAATAAATTTCCATGCATAGAATAATCCTTGTGTTTCCTGGAATATATTCTACTTGATCAAAGTGTCACTTTTTAAACTTTTTTATGATTAAATCTAAAGAAACAAGATTAATTTGAAAGTTTAAACTTCTATCTATCTATCTATCTATCTATCTATCTTTATTTTTTGCCCAGGACCTTGCACATACTAGGCAAGAGTCCTGCACCTGAACTATGACCCCAGCCCATTGTGCTCTCATCTCATACTGACATCTGACTTCATAGGAAATAGCTTTTTATTTGAGATGACAGATAACTCCAAAGTTTGCTTGTCATTACCCAGCATGCACTTCACCTACTCTCCATTCTCACATTTTCCTTTTTATGTAAGTTTTTTTTTAGATTTTTTATTTAAATTAGAAACAATCTTGTTCTACCATGTTGTCAATCCCAATTCCTTCCCCCTCCCCTACTCCCGTACCCCCACCTACTCCCAATCCCATCCCCTTTCTGCTCCCCTGGGAGGGTGAGGCCTTCCATGGGGGAATCTTCAAAGTGTGTCATATCATTTGGAGCAGGGCCTAAGGCCCTCCCCGGTGTGTCTACGCTGAGAAAGCATCCCTCTATATGGAATGGGCTCCCAAAGTCCATTCTTATACTAAGGATAAATACTGATCCAGTACCAGAGGCCCCATACATTGCCCAGGCCTCCTAACTGACACCCACAATCAGGGGGTCTGGATTGGTCCTACGCTGGTTTCCCAGCTATCAGTCTGGGGTCCATGACCAACCCCTTGTTCAGGTCAGCTGTTCCTGTGGGTTTCTCCAGCCAGGTCTTGACCCCTTTGCTCATCACTCCTCCTTCTCTGCAATTGGATTCCAGGGTTCAGCTCAGTGTTTAACTGTGGGTGTCTGCTTCTTCTTCCATCAGATACTAGATGAAGGCTCTAGGATGGCATATAAGGAAGACATCAATCTCATTATCGGAGAAGGGCATTTAAGGTAGCCTCTCAACTATTGCTTAGATTGTTAGTAGGGGTCAAACTTGTAGATCTCTGGGCGTTTCCCTAGTGCCAGAATTCTCTTTAAACATATAACGTCTCCCTCTATTATGATATCTCTTTTCTTGCTTTCCTCTAATCTTCCCCTGACTCAATATTCCTGCTCCCTCATGTCCTCCTCTCCCCTACTCGTCTCTCCTTCTCTTTCTCCTAACTCTCTCTCCCCTCCCCCATGCTCCCAATTTCCTCAGGAAATCTTGTCCCTTCCCCCTTCTCCGGGGGAACATGTGTGTCTGTCTTAGGGTCCTCCTTGTGCCCTAACTTCTCTGATGGTGTGGATTGTAGGCTGATAATCCTTTACTCTATGCTGAATAATCCATATATGAATGAGTACATACCATGTTTGTCTTTCTGTGACTGGGTTACCTCACTCAGAATGGTTTCTTCTAGTTCCATCCATTTGCCTGTGAATTGCAAAATTCCATTGCTTTTTTTTTTCCACTGAGTAGTACTCCATTGTGTAAATGTACCACATTTTCTCTATCCATTCTTCAGTTGAGGGGCATCTAGGTTGCTTCCAGGTTCTGGCTATTACAAATAATGCTGCTATGAACATAGCTGAGCAGATGTCCTTGTTGTATGAATGTGCTTCTTTTGGGTATATGCCTAAGAGTGGAATTGCTGGATCTTGTGGTAGACTGATTCCCATTTTCCTGAGGAATCGCCATACTGATTTCCAAAGTGGCTGTACAAGTTGGCACTCCCACCAGCAGTGGAGAAGTGTTCACCTTTCTCCACATCCTCTCCAACATAAACTGTCATTGGTGTTTTTAATTTTAGCCATTCTGACAGGAGTAAGGTGGTGTCTCAGAGTTGTTTTGAGTTGCATTTCCCTGATGGCTAAGGATGTTGAGCACTTTCTTAAGTGTCTTTCAGCCATTTTAGATTCCTCTATTGAGAATTCTCTATTTAGTTCTGTACACCACTTTTTAATTGGATTATTTGGTGTTTTGGAAACTAGCTTCTTGAGTTCTTTGTATATTTTGGAAATCAGCACTCTGTCTAATGTGGGGCTGGTGAAGATCTTTTCCCATTTTGTGGGCTGCTGTTTTGTCTTGTTGATTGTGTCCTTTGCCTAACAGAAGCTTCTCAGTTTCAAGAGGTCCCATTTATTAATTGTCAATCTCAGTGTCTATGCTACTGATGTTATGTTCAGGAAGCAGTCTCCTGTACCAATTTGTTCAAGGGTACGTCCCACTTTCGTTTCTAAGAGGTTCAGTGTGGCTGGATTTATGTTGAAGTCTTTGATCCATTTGGACTTGAGTTTTGTACATGGCGATAGGTGTGGATCTATACATGCCAGCATCCAGTTATGCCAGCACCATTTGTTGAAAATGTTTTCTTTTTTCCATTGTATAATTTTAGCTTCTTTGTCAAAAATCAGGTGTTACAGGTGTGTGGGTTAATATCAGGGTTTTCAATTCGATTCCATTGGGCTACCTGTCTATTTTTGTGCCGACACCAAGCTGTTTTCAGGACTATAGCTCTATAATAGAGCTTGAAATCAGGGATGCTTCCAGAAGTTCCTTTGCTTTTCCATATAAAATTCAGTATTGTTCTTTCAAGGTCTATGAAGAACTGTGCTGGGGTTTTGATGGGGACTGCATTGAATCTGTAGATTGCTTTTGGCAAGATTGCCACTTTTACTATGTTGATCCTACTGGGAGATCTTTCCATTTTCTGGTATCTTCTTTAATTTTTTTCTATTTTATGTTATTTGTGGCAATTGTAAAGGGTGATGTTTCTCTGCTTTCTTTCTCAGCCCATTTATCTTCTGATTTTCTTTAGTTAATCTTGTATCCTGCCACTTGGCTGAAGGTGTTTATCAGCTGTAGGAGATCCCTGGTAGAGTTTTTCGGGTCACTTATGTAAACTATCATATCATCTGCAAACAGCGAAAGTTTTACTTCTTCCTTTCCAATTTGTATCCCCTTGATCTCCTTTTGTTGTCTTATTGCTCTAGCTAGAACTTT